GACCTGAAGGCATAAAAGATTCCCATCATGCTCAGCAGAAATCCAAGATGGATGCTAGCACATGGAGTAACATAACCTCTGGGAAAAGAGTAGGACCTTGGGACAGTACCACCTCCTCAATGGCCCCTCCCCCTCCGCGGCTCAACAAATGGTTTCCCGAGGAAAGCGGGTATGAAACGCGCGGAGGAGGGCAGGAGCATGGACATCCGCGGAAGGAACCCAGGAACGCTCCTCGGGACCAATAACCGCGGCCAATGAACCAGGAACTGTAATCGGCCGCGCGCACCAATCGAGAGTCCCAGGATCCGGCTCACCTCATACTCCTCATGACCGTCAACCCGAATAGGGACGGGGCCGAGGCAGAGAGGTAGTGAAGCGATTGCAGATCAGAGGTTTCAACAGTGATACATGAAAGATATTGGAGATCCGCATCCCAGGTGGAAGGGCAAGGGCATAGGCCCACCGGATTCACCTTGCGGAGAATGCGAAAAGGACCGACAAAACGGGGAGCTAGTTTGGGTGTGGCACCCGAAGATTGAGGTTACAGTAGTACAACCACACCCGAATCGCCGACCTGGTATGAAGAGCGGCAACCGTCTGCGATCAGCCTGGAACTTCTGACGCTGAGTGCCGAGTCCCTCAAAGCCCTCTGGATCTGCCCCCATGAAGAACGCAGGGCAGCAAGATGGTTCCTCCACAGCCGGAATGTCCTGTGGTGAGAACCTCTCCGGTAATACCGCGGGTTTGGTACCCATAGTTGGCCATGAAGGGGGACATCCCGGAGGAGGAGTTGACCGCTGAGTTTCCTGGCAAACACAGCCAAGGCAGGAGATCGGGCCCAATCGTCCTGATGGTCCGAGATATAACAACACCGAAGGAAATTTGTTCTAAGGCCTGATTGGAACGCTCCGCATACCCCATTGGACTGCGGGTGGTAGGCTGAAGAAAAGGAGAGACTAATGCCCAACTGGGGAGCAGAAGGCGCGCCAGAATCTGGACACACGAACTGACACCCGCGGTCCGAGACAATCACCTTGGGCAACCCAATGCAGGCGAAAAATCTCCCTGGAAAAGACCGTGGCCAGTTTCTTGCGCTGTTGGTAATTTCCTGAGTGGAATACAATGGCACACTGATTTTGGAAAAACGATCGACGACCATGAGGATGACCGTATGACCCCGAGAACACAGGGAGGTCTACAATAAAGTCCATCCCAGGTGTGACCAAGGACGCTCCCCATTGGGAAAGGGTTGCAGAAGACCCATTGGAAGATGCCCGTGGAGATTTATTCTGGGCACAGATCGAACATGCCGCTACATAAGAGGCGATGTCGGCACGGAGAGTTGGCCACCAGAACAACCGAGAGACGACCCAAGACAACTGGTTCCTCCCGATGCCCGGCAGTTTTGGAGTTATGGTAGGTACGCAGCAGACGGGTGCGCAACCCCTCGGGTACAAAACATCTACCCTCCGGTCTCGGGGAGGAGCGTCAGTTTGAGGCCGCCAAAATCTGCTCCCCCAAGGGGAGAAGTCAGACTGGTACGAATGGCAGCCAGGATATGATCCGGAGGTATGACCGCGGTTGGCTCAGAGTCCTCCCTGGACAACTCAGAGTAATTGCCGCGATAATGCATCAGCCCTGACATTCTTGGAACCAGGCAAATAGGAGACCACATAGTTGAACCGCGACAAGAACAAGGCCCATCTGGCTTGACGGGGTGTCAAATCTTTTGGCCTCCGAAAGATAAGTCAGGTTCTTATGATCGGTAAGAATGAGGACCGGAACTAGCGGAGGTCCCTCGAGCAGGTGCCTCCATTCCTTGAGAGCCAAATGATTGCCAACAACTCCCAATCTCCAATCTGGTAGTTGCACTCTGCAGAGGAAAGCTTCCTGGAGTAGAACCCACGGGGGGGAAGTAGGGTCCATCGGCGACCGACGTTGAGACAGGAGAGCGCCTACTCCTGTCCTCGGATGCATCAACCTCAAGGACGAAGGGCAATCCAGGATTGGATGATGAGACAGTATCGGAGCCGAAGCGAAGGCGGATTTCAGAGCCTCAAAAGCTACGATGGCCTCGGATGGCCACCGTGAGAGGATTGCTGTCCCTTCTTGGTTAGGTCTGAGAGAGGTTTTGCCAGCGAGGAGAAAATTTCTGATGAATTTCCGATAGTAGTTGGCAAAACCTAAAAGCGCTGAATGGGCGAAGGCCATTGGGACGAGGCCACTGCAAGAACTGCCGAAACCTTCTGAGGGTCCATGGAGAAATCCCTCCGCAGAAATGATGTAGCCTAAAAAGGCAACTTGGGATCGATGGAATTCGCACTTCTCAAGTTTACAAAAAGTTCGTTCTCACGTAATCGTTGCAGCACCTGCTTGACTCCTGGATATGGGACTCCAATGGAGGCAGAGTAAACCAGGATGTCCCAAATCCAAGTAAACTACCACGCCTGCTGCAATAAGTCACGTAAGGACATCATTATGAATTCCTGAAAAACTGCGGGCTAGCGTTACACAACCGAAGGGCATCACCAGGTATTCGTAGTGACCGGTTCTGGTGTTAAACGCGGTCCTTCCACTCATCCCCTGTTTGATCCGTACGAGGTTGTACGCCGCCCTAAGGTCAAGTTTGGTAAAGACTGTTGCCCCCCTTAAGGCGGTCGAACAACTCAGTAATCAAGGGAATCGGGTAGGCCATTCTTAGTGGTGATTCGATTGATACCCCTATAATCGATGCAAGGCCTCAATTCACCACCCTTCTTCTTTACAAAGAAAAAGCCCGCTCCTGCTGGGGAAGTAGACTTACGAATGTGCCCCCGGGAAAGCGCATCCGCAACGTACTCCTCCATGGCCTTATTCTCCGCAACCGAGAGAGGATACACCCTGCCACGCGGAGAGTGGCACCGGGGTTGCAAGGATATGGCGCAGTCGTAAGGACGATGAGCAGGTAAGGCACCAGCGCCGTACCTTATCAAACACGTCTGGTACTCCCCCATAATCAGTGGGCCAAACGCAGAGTCTGAGGAGGCACACAACACCTTACCGGCCCACGGATGCACCCAGGCCCCACACTGTGAAGACCACGAGAGAATCTCGGCAGTTTGCCAATTGAAGGTTGGATTGTGCATCTGGAGCCAGGGATACCCCAAAACCACCGAATAGTGCGGAGAAAGAAATCACCTGGAAACAGCCAACTCCTGTGAAACGAGCCCAATAGCTACCTCAACTGGCATAGTCTCGTGGGTAACCTGCGGTGGTTGCAGGGGGCCTGCCATCTATCGCCTCGAGAACCAATGGGGTAACTCGAGCCTGCAGGGGGATTGGAGTGCTGGGCAGCAAACGAGCTGTCCATAAACAACCCGCCAGCCCCAGAATCTACCAACGCCTTGGGGCCGTCACCGAGCCTCCGCCCAAGAGAGGACAACGGTGATCAGTGGCTTATCTCTGCGGAACGCCGGGGACGAGGAGACTCCACCCAAGATCTGTGTCCCCGACAGGATCTCAGGTGCGAGCGTTTCCCGGACGGACCGGACAGGACTGCCGAAAGTGCCCCACCAACACCACAGTACAGGCAGCGACCCTCCCGACGCCGAGCGGGCCCCGCTCCCCCTCGGAAAGGCGAGCAAACCCCAGCTGCATGGGCTCACCACCAGACAATCTATTCCCCAGGAGCTGCGATCTCGTCCTTCAATGCATCAGAAAGACCCTGAGCAAAAACGCAGCCACCAGAGCCTCATTGTTCCAACCCACACCTCTGCTGCCAGGGTACGAAACTCTATGGCGTACTCGGCCACGGTCCGTGAACCCTGATGCATAGACATGAGCAGCTTGGCAGCCGAGGCGGAGCGAGCCGGTACATCGAATACCCTACGGAAGGGCATCGACAAAACCGGAAAACTCGTGAAATCACTTGGGTCATTCCTCTCCCATAAGGGATTCGCCCAGGCCAAGGCCTTGTCTGAGAGTAGTGAGATGAGGAAACCCACCTTTGACCTCTCAGTCGGAAAAGCGAAGGGGATTAATTCAAAGTAAAATCCCCACCTGGTTAAGGAACCCACGACACTGACTCGGCTCACCCCCAAAGCGCTGTGGAAGAGGGGCTGAACCGGTCATACCTCTGGACACGCTGGGCGGTGCCGCATCAGCCGCGGCGGTAGGCACAGCAAGCGGAACAGCAGCGGGAGTGACCACCGGAGTGATTAGTGACAACCGGCCTAATAACACCAGGAGTAAGGTGCGCGGTGCGTGCCAGCAGAGTTTGCAACGCCTGAGCGAACTGATCCACAGGAGATCCTGTTGATCCAGTCTGGCAACCAACATAGGAAGTGAAGGCGTACCTGCACCGTCAGGATTCATGGCACTTGTGTAATGTACAGGGCAGGGCTGTGGAACGGACAGGTAGGCCTAGTGGCAGGGTAACGCACTGGCTGACGACAACCACCACCAACAGACTGAAGTCCCTCAGGGCGCGGAGTCTAAGTCCCAGGCTGCCCTTCAACCAGGGGCCCCTGATGGTGGGGATGGACTTGACGCAACCAGGGACCAGGTCGCGGCCCCCGAGACACCCCAGCTGCGGTAATGGCCGCCGCCAATGGCGTGTAGTTGGTGAGAATGACAATAGCGTAGTCAGACAAGCCGGGTCAATAATAACAGGACAAAACAGTACAGAACAGTAGACAGAGAATCACAGGTCACGGGCCGGGTTCAGCAACAGAAGGTCAGATCAAAGGGAAACGCAGAGAATGGTCTTAGTCACAAGCCAAGTCAGAATACCAGAAGAGTCACGAGCGTATACACAGAGCTGTAGCAAGACAAAGACACAAGACACAAGTGCAAAGAGCATGTGCAGATCCCAGGCTTATATGTACTCAGCCACACCCCTCTGGGGGATGGACCTCAGAGACCTGAAGGCATAAAAGATTCCCATCATGCTCAGCAGAAATCCAAGATGGATGCTAGCACATGGAGTAACATAACCTCTGGGAAAAGGTAGGACCTTGACAGATTGGAACACCTGAATCACATGATATGGAGGGATTGGAACACCTGAATCACATGATATGGAGGGGATTGGAGCACCTGAATTATCTGAAAACTTGTTTGTTCTTCTTCTCTATCATCTCTTCAGGAAGTAATGTGTCTGTTATACAGTCTGATGAAATGTGCTCTGTATGTTTGTAACTTAAGCCACACAAGTAAAGCCTGAATTCTGCTATCACTACCAGTGTCTTCTATAACACATAACCAACACAATGAGGCCTTGTGACACCAATGAAGGGGCACAATTCATCCCAATGACACCAATGAAGAGGCACAATTCCTCCCAATGACACCAACAATGGGACACAATTTATCCCAATGACATCAATGAAGGGGCGCAATTCCTCCCAATGACACCAACAAACGGACAAATTCTCACCCAATGACACAAACCAAAAATGGGGTCCTGTGACACCAATGAAGGGGCACAATTCTTCTCTCAAAGACACCAACGATGGGCACAATTCCTCCCAATGACACCCATGACACCTGAATCACATGATATGGAGGCGATGGGAACACCTGAATCACATGATATGGAGGGGATTGGAACACCTGAATCACATGATTTGGAGGGGATTGGAACACCTGAATCACATGATATGGAGGGGATTGGAACACCTGAATCACATGATATGGAGGGGATTGGAACACCTGAATCACATGATATAGAGGGGATTGGAGCACCTGAATCACATGATTGGGAGGGGATTGGAACACCTGAATCACATGATATAGAGGGGATTGGAACACCTGAATCACATGATATGGAGGGGATTGGAACACCTGAATCACATGATATAGAGGGGATTGGAGCACCTGAATCACATGATTGGAGGGGATTGGAACACCTGAATCACATGATATGGAGGGGATTGGAACACCTGAATCACATGATATGGAGGGGATTGGAACACCTGAATCACATGATATAGAGGGGATTGGAGCACCTGAATCACATGATATGGAGGGGTTTGGAACACCTGAATCACGTGATTGGGAGGGTGGGCCCAATACTTTTGGCAATATACTATATCATCATGTCCCCTAGTCATGTAGCCCTACGCTCATTTTTTTTTGTTCGCTTCGGGCCTATCTTTCTAAGAAACGTATCCAAGGCTGAGGTTAGGCCTTGCTCTCCAGATCACAGAGAACTTGTATATTTTTGCAGCTGATTGCTATATTGGTGCCAGGGGCGGACTGACAACTCATGGGGCCCCCGGGCAATAGGGGATCATGGGGCTCCTGTGTCCTTGCCCAAACTCAAAAAAGCCTATGAAAAAGGTACCAGGGGCATCTCATGGGGCCCCCTACTGACCCCGGGCCCTCGGGCAGCGCCCGAGTTTCCAAATGGTCAGTCCGCCCCTGATTGGTGCATAGGGGAGATGGATTTTAGAAAAAAAAAAAAGTGAACTTATCCTTTAAAGTTCCACCAACCATTTCCTCCTCCGTAGCCCCCAGCCTGCAGAGTAAGCACCTCCCCCGCACGCCTTATTTCAGTTCGCCTGACAAGGCGACAGCTCTGCATAAAGACAGATTTCTAGTAATCACCGCGGCTGAATCGAAAAATGATTTAATGACTTCTGACGGAATACAGAATCCAAGTAAAGGCGGTTTTCTATATATCTGCCCGCAGCTCTATAACCGATCCGCATCTCCGGTGATGGTTAGTCATCCAGAATGTGATAAATATCTTCTGATGAAACAACTGCGAAAAACTGGTCAAATATTCCCCCCCCCCCCACCCCCCCGCACCGTCTCGCGCTTTTTTTTTTTCTGAAAATAAGATTTACTTTTTACATAATTTCTCTGTGTTTTGCAGAGCGAGATGAAATGGAAAGCTAATCTAAATTACCTGACTCCGAAATGTTTGTGATCAAACAGATTTATTTTCACGTCGATAATTTTAATTTATTCCCTGCTTACAGCGCCGCAACCGGGAGACATTTTTCATTATTTTTTTTTTTTTTATATATACAAAAAAGAAAAGAAGCGAAGACAGAGACCGGCAGGGGTGGACTGACCATTCGAGCACTCGGGCACTGGGGGCCCCATAAAATGCCCCTGGTACCTTTAATAGGCTTTTTTGGGTGTGTTTTGACTGTAGGCAAGGACACAGGGGCCCAATGATCCCCAACTGCCCGGGGGCCCCATGAGTTGTCAGTCCGCCCCTGGAGACCGGGGAACATAGTGATGGGTCGCTGATGGTTATCCTTGGAACTCTGAAACATCAGATGGAAGTTGCCGGCCTCTGACTCCAGGTCAAAATCTAGTGCTGAGGAAAGTTGAATTTATTCATGTTTGCTGCACTGGAGATCAGAGGGGCAGCTTCTATCGGAGGCTTTTTCACTAAATTGTAACATTTAATGGCGGAGGCATCAAAATCAATGAAACAAATAGACACGAGCTGGATTTTTTTTGCATGTTACACGCCCATTTTACTGAAAAGGAACCGATACCCATCAATTTATATATTCTATTGATCAGTGGTCTTCGAACTGTGGTGTGGGATTGGTGTCCTGGTGGTCATCCAGCGTGGACTGTCTGCCAACTGAGATGCCGTTTGCTGATCTCCTGCAGCCTTTGTGTACCAAAAACACACGGGAACCCTAAACCCTGGTGTGGGATTGGTGTCCTGGTGGTCATCCAGTGTGGACTGTCTGCCAACTCAGATGCCATTTGCTGAACTCCTGCGGCCTTTGTGTACCAAAAGCACATGGGAACCCTAAACCTGGAGTGGGATTGGTGTCCTGGCTGTCATCCAGTGTGGACTGTCTGCCAACTGAGATGCCATTTGCTGAACTTCTGCGGCCTTTGTGCAACCAAAACACTTGGGAACCCTAAACCCTGGTGTGGGATTGGTGTATTGGTGGTCATCCAGTGTGGGCTGTCTGCCAACTGAGATGCCATTTGCTGAACTCCTGCAGCCTTTGTGCACCCTGAAACAGACAGGAATCCTAAACCCTGGTGTGGGATTGGTGTCCTGGTGGTCATCCAGTGTGGACTGTCTGCCAACTGAGATGCCATTTGCTGAGCTCCTGCGGCCTTTGGGCACCAAAAACACACAGGAACCCTAAACCCTATTGTGGGATTGGTGTCCTGGTGGTCATCCAGTGTGGACTGTCTGCCAACTGAGATGCCGTTTGCTGATCTCCTGCAGCCTTTGTGCACCCGAAACACATAGGAACCGTAAACCCTGGGTGGGATTGGTGTCCTGGCGGTCATCCAGTGTGGACTGTCTGCCAAATGAGATGCCAGTTGCTGAACTCCTGCGGCCTTTGTGTACCAAAAGCACATGGGAACCCTAAACCCTGGTGTGGGATTGGTGTCCTGGTGGTCATCCAGTGTGGACTGTCTGCCAACTCAGATGCCATTTTCTGAACTCCTGCGGCCTTTGTGTACCAAAAGCACATGGGAACCCTAAACCCTGGAGTGGGATTGGTGTCCTGGCTGTCATCCAGTGTGGACTGTCTGCCAACTGAGATGCCATTTGCTGAACTTCAGCGGCCTTTGTGCAACCAAAACACTTGGGAACCCTAAACCCTGGTGTGGGATTGGTGTATTGGTGGTCATCCAGTGTGGGCTGTCTGCCAACTGAGATGCCATTTGCTGAACTCCTGCAGCCTTTGTGCACCCTGAAACAGACAGGAATCCTAAACCCTGGTGTGGGATTGGTGTCCTGGTGGTCATCCAGTGTGGACTGTCTGCCAACTGAGATGCCATTTGCTGAGCTCCTGCGGCCTTTGGGCACCAAAAACACACAGGAACCCTAAACCCTGTGTGGGATTGGTGTCCTGGTGGTCATCCAGTGTGGACTGTCTGCCAACTGAGATGCCGTTTGCTGATCTCCTGCAGCCTTTGTGCACCCGAAACACATAGGAACCGTAAACCCTGGGTGGGATTGGTGTCCTGGCGGTCATCCAGTGTGGACTGTCTGCCAAATGAGATGCCAGTTGCTGAACTCCTGCGGCCTTTGTGTACCAAAAGCACATGGGAACCCTAAACCCTGGTGTGGGATTGGTGTCCTGGTGGTCATCCAGTGTGGACTGTCTGCCAACTCAGATGCCATTTTCTGAACTCCTGCGGCCTTTGTGTACCAAAAGCACATGGGAACCCTAAACCCTGGAGTGGGATTGGTGTCCTGGCTGTCATCCAGTGTGGACTGTCTGCCAACTGAGATGCCATTTGCTGAACTTCAGCGGCCTTTGTGCAACCAAAACACTTGGGAAACCTAAACCCTGGTGTGGGATTGTGTATTGGTGGTCATCCAGTGTGGGCTGTCTGCCAACTGAGATGCCATTTGCTGAACTCCTGCAGCCTTTGTGCACCCTGAAACAGACAGGAATCCTAAACCCTGGTGTGGGATTGGTGTCCTGGTGGTCATCCAGTGTGGACTGTCTGCCAACTGAGATGCCATTTGCTGAGCTCCTGCGGCTTTTGGGCACCAAAAACACACAGGAACCCTAAACCCTGGTGTGGGATTGGTGTCCTGGTGGTCATCCAGTGTGGACTGTCTGCCAACTGAGATGCCGTTTGCTGATCTCCTGCAGCCTTTGTGCACCCGAAACACATAGGAACCGTAAACCCTGGGTGGGATTGGTGTCCTGGCGGTCATCCAGTGTGGACTGTCTGCCAAATGAGATGCCAGTTGCTGAACTCCTGCGGCCTTTGTGTACCAAAAGCACATGGGAACCCTAAACCCTGGTGTGGGATTGGTGTCCTGGTGGTCATCCAGTGTGGACTGTCTGCCAACTCAGATGCCATTTGCTGAACTCCTGCGGCCTTTGTGTACCAAAAGCACATGGGAACCCTAAACCTGGAGTGGGATTGGTGTCCTGGCTGTCATCCAGTGTGGACTGTCTGCCAACTGAGATGCCATTTGCTGAACTTCTGCGGCCTTTGTGCAACCAAAACACTTGGGAACCCTAAACCCTGGTGTGGGATTGGTGTATTGGTGGTCATCCAGTGTGGGCTGTCTGCCAACTGAGATGCCATTTGCTGAACTCCTGCAGCCTTTGTGCACCCTGAAACAGACAGGAATCCTAAACCCTGGTGTGGGATTGGTGTCCTGGTGGTCATCCAGTGTGGACTGTCTGCCAACTGAGATGCCATTTGCTGAGCTCCTGCGGCCTTTGGGCACCAAAAAACACACAGGAACCCTAAACCCTATTGTGGGATTGGTGTCCTGGTGGTCATCCAGTGTGGACTGTCTGCCAACTGAGATGCCGTTTGCTGATCTCCTGCAGCCTTTGTGCACCCGAAACACATAGGAACCGTAAACCCTGGGTGGGATTGGTGTCCTGGCGGTCATCCAGTGTGGACTGTCTGCCAAATGAGATGCCAGTTGCTGAACTCCTGCGCCTTTGTGTACCAAAAGCACATGGGAACCCTAAACCCTGGTGTGGGATTGGTGTCCTGGTGGTCATCCAGTGTGGACTGTCTGCCAACTCAGATGCCATTTGCTGAACTCCTGCGGCCTTTGTGTACCAAAAGCACATGGGAACCCTAAACCCTGGAGTGGGATTGGTGTCCTGGCTGTCATCCAGTGTGGACTGTCTGCCAACTGAGATGCCATTTGCTGAACTTCTGCAGCCTTTGTGCAACCAAACACACTTGGGAACCCTAAACCCTGGTGTGGGATTGGTGTATTGGTGGTCATCCAGTGTGGGCTGTCTGCCAACTGAGATGCCATTTGCTGAACTCCTGCAGCCTTTGTGCACCCTGAAACAGACAGGAATCCTAAACCCTGGTGTGGGATTGGTGTCCTGGTGGTCATCCAGTGTGGACTGTCTGCCAACTGAGATGCCATTTGCTGAGCTCCTGCGGCCTTTGGGCACCAAAAACACACAGGAACCCTAAACCCTGGTGTGGGATTGTGTGTCCTGGTGGTCATCCAGTGTGGGCTGTCTGCCAACTGAGATGCCATTTGCTGAACTCCTGTGGCCTTTGTGCACCCTGAAACGGTTCAGGAACCGTAAACCCTAGTGTGGGATTGGTGTACTGGTGGTCAGCCAGTGTGGACTGTCTGCCAACTGAGATGCCATTTGCTGAACTCCTGTGGCCTTTGTGCACCCGAAACACATGGGAACCCTAAACCCTGGTGTGGGATTGGTGTCCTGGTGGTCATCCAGTGTGGACTGTCTGCCAACTGAGATGCCATTTGCTGAACTCCTGCAGCTTTGTGCACCCTGAAACAGACAGAAATCCTAAATCCTGGTGTGGGATTGGTGTCTTGGCAGTCATCCAGTGTGGACTGTGTTCCGAGATGCCATTTGCACCCTGAAATAGAAAGGAACCGTAAACCCTGGTGTGGGATTGGTGTCCTGGTGGTCATCGAGTGTGGACTGTCTGCCAACTGAGATGCCATTTGCTGCAGCCTTTGTGCACCCGAAACACATAGGAATCCTAATCCCTGGTGTGGGATTGGTGTCCTGGTGGTGAGCCAACATATTATTGTTCTCATATCAGAATTATGTGTTTGTTTTTGTTGAAGGAAGCTATTTTTGTTTGAATGTTTTTGAGTGGACAATAAAGACTATTTACTTTTACAAGTGATACCGAGTTCCCATATTACACCCCAAAAAAAGCCAGACGAGTGACCACAGAGGTGTAGCTGGGGAGGGGCAGGTGGGTACATATGTACCCGGGCGCCAAGGTACAGGGGCCCCAAAATGAGGTCACAAGATCACTGCAGCGGCTGCAGCAGATGTGTCATCTGATACGTCTGCCATCCACAGTGAGTTATGAGAGGAGAGAAGAGCCGGCCGGGAGAGGAGGGCAGTGAGCTGGGCATGTGCCGGAGGGGACGAGGGGAGAGCCGAGCCGGGTGAGTAGTGCCATGGATGAAGGGGGGGCAATGCCTCTGAGTGACCAGAAGAAAATCAACCTGGCTGCAGTTCATTAGAGGCGTCACTCCGCACCAGGGGTGGACTGACCATTCGGGGTCAGCAGGGGGCCCCATGAGATGCCCCTGGGCATCTGATACCTTTTTTCAAAGGCTTTTGTGAGTTTGGGCAAGGACACAGGGGCCCCATGATCCCCTATTGCCCGGGGGCCCCATGAGTTGTCAGTCACAAGGACACACACAGACACAAATGGTTCCCTTAAAACAATAAATAGCTGGTTCCCGATGAGATAAACAAGTGGCGGTAATTCTTCGCCCGTTCAATCCTTCCCGTGGACCCGCTGGTCCCGGACAGTCACTTGAGCGTGACTCTGCTCGGACGGTAATTGGATGGGAATAGCGACTTCTGCTGATTTTAATCTTAGATTAGAAAGTCCCAAACATCTTGTCTGCACTTTAATCATTCTTTGGGAAGCCAAATAAAATACAAACACTGACGGCGACAGCCTAGACCTGCCTCGTCTTATCATCCGAAGAGATCCGGTAATTGCTGAAAACCGGTGAGCGGAACGTCGCCTGGCTGCGCAATTCAAGTGGCACAGATGGACCGGCGCAGATAACCAGTTCGCTGGCAGACTGTCATGTGATCTGAGCAACTTTGGAGCTGCATCAAAGTCCAAGAGGCTTTTTTTTTTTTCCCTCGTATCCTCCGCCTGTCACATAGTTGCTAAGTGTTCGTAAAGTCGAACTTGAGGCAGACAACGTAGCGCTTGGTTGGAAGGCGTACACAGGAGCTCTTGTGTCTTCCGAAGATCTTGTCATTCTGTTCAGCCAGTCTTGAGATTTACACAGCTCTGCCAGGCAGCGCAGCCAAGTTAATGTTTCTCTGAAGCAGTTAATACCCAATCCCCAAGCCAGTTTCTTCCCTCCCCCAGTTATCCCTCATCCAGTGGTTTTTGCTTTATTTAACCACTTGCCACCCACTGAATACCACCAAAAGAAATCTCTGTGTGAAACAAATGGTATCGTTTCATTTGGGTACGTTGTTGCATGACCATGCAATCACCAGTTAAAGTAGCGCAGTGCTGAATAGCAAGAAAATGCCCCTAGTACAGATATAGTGAATGCGGGGTCCGGGGAGAGCGGATATAGTGAATGCAGGGTCCGGGGAGAGCGGATATAGTGAATGCGGGGTCCGGGGAGAGCGGATATAGTGAATGCGGGGTCCGGGGGGAGCGGATATAGTGAATGCGGGGTCCGGGGAGAGCGGATATAGTGAATGCGGGGTCTGGGGAGAGCGGATATAGCGAATGCGGGGTCCGGGGAGAGCGGATATAGCGAATGCGGGATCCGGGGAGAGCGGATATAGTGAATGCGGGGTCCGGGGGAGCGGATATAGTGAATGCGGGGTCGGGGAGAGCGGATATAGTGAATGCTGGGTCTGGGGAGAGCATATATAGCAAATGCGGGGTCCGGGGAGAGCAGATATAGTGAATGCTGGGTCCTGGGGAGAGCGGATATATATAGCGAATGCGGGGTCCGGGGAGAGCGGATATAGTGAATGCTGGGTCTGGGGAGAGCGGATATATATAGCAAAATGCGGGGTCCGGGGAGAGCGGATATAGTGAATGCGGGTCCGGGGAGAGCGGATATAGTGAATGCTGGGTCCGGGGAGAGCGGATATAGTGAATGCGGGGTCGGGGAGAGCGGATATAGTGAATGCGGGGTCCGGGGAGAGCGGATATAGTGAATGCAGGGTCCGGGGAGAGCGGATATAGTGAATGCGGGGTCTGGGGAGAGCATATATAAGCGAATGCGGGGTCCGGGGAGAGCGGATATAGTGAATGCGGGGTCCGGGGAGAGCGGATATAGTGAATGCGGGGCCCGGGGAGAGCGGATATAGTGAATGCGGGGTCCGAGGAGAGCTGATATAATGAATGCGGGGTCCGGGGAGAGCAGATATAGCAAATGCGGGGTCCGGGGAGAGCGGATATAGCGAATGCGAGGTCAGGGAAGAGCGGATACAGTGAATGCGGGGTCAGGGGAGAGCGGATATAGTGAATGCGGGGTCCGGGGAGAGCGGATATAGTGAATGCGGGGTCCGGGGAGAGCGGATATAGCGAATGCGGGGTCCGGGGTTTAGTAACACTTTAAGTTGAACATCATCCAATCCAGAAGACTTCGGACAGCTAGTGGTGGAAAGGAATTACTACAGGTGACAGGACTGGGCAGCAGCTGGCAGAGTGATCGTGAGTTCCAGAAGATGACGTGCACGAGACTCATGACTTTGCAATGGAATGGCGACTGGCAGGAAAATGCATTGGGCATGTCTTTTATTCTAATGCCCAATGTGCGCCATGACGTCACGCGCAGGTGTGCAACCTGACCAACCCCACTGCCTGAGCAGTAGCATTCCCCCAACTCTGGAACTGCACAACAGCGGCCATACTGTTAACAGGCACTCATCACCGACCTTTAGAGACAGGAACAAAACCTGCCTGATTTTTACAAACCGTCCGTAAATTTACAGACAGTTGGCAACCCTGAGGACCACCCAATGCCAGAAGATCAGAAAAAAGAGAAATAATAAAGCAATAAATACTGTGTGTGGGGGCACCCAGGGGGAGGGGGGGGGGAAACAGGCATAGAGGGGCTGAGCCCAAATTTAATTTTGCTTAACCCCTTCAAGCCGGCGCCTCCCGGCCCTTTAAGGGTTCCAGTTACCGGGAGGCAGGACGGGGTTTAGGGACATGTGACCACCTTGACACGCTGTCACGGCAGTCACATGATCGGGAAAGGTCCTGATCGAAAGAGGAGATTGGGACCTTTCTGTGAGTACCGGACATGTGTGCTGGGAGCACTCTCGGCACATATGTCCTTTTTTAATAGAACGCAAATGTGCGGCCACTCAGCATCTAGGCCCAGACGGCGGGAGGCCGGCGTGAAGAGGTTGAAGAATGCGCGGGTCATGAATATATCATCTGTATTATACTTTAGTCCAGGGGTCTCCAAACTTTCTATACAAAGGGCAAGTTTACTGTCCTTCAGTCTTTAGGGGGGCCGGACTGTGGCCAACGGGAATACAAAATATCTCAGCATCAGTAGAAGTAAACAATCACCTATCATTGTGTGACAGTGGAAGAAATTGTGCCTCATCAGTGGGGTCACTGGGCCCCCTTGTTGGTATTATTGGGGGGATCTATGTCCCATCATTTATCTCAAGGGTCTCCAAACTATGGCCCTCCAGCTGTTGAAGTACTACAAGTCCCATCATGCCTCTGCCTCTGGGAGTCTTGCCTGTAGCTGTCAGAGTCTTGCAAGGCCTCATGGGACTTGAAGTTCCTCCACACCTGGAGGGCCGTAGTTTGGAGACCCCTGATCTTTTGCACTTAGTACATCTCACTGCGCTTAAAGTGGTCTTAGGTGGACCTAGTTTATCTTAGGCTGGTGGCCCCTTTAAGCCATCCGCAGAATATTTCTCCTCACAGCGGCTCGTTGTTCCCTTCCTAGCCTTGAATTTATTGCACTTAGTACATCTTGTTGAGCTTAAAGTGGTCTTAAGTGTACCTCTCGCTGGTGGGCCCTTTAAGACACCCATATAATTTTTCATCCTACCGCTGCTTCCTCCATATCGAATCTATTGCACATAGTACATCTCACTGTGCTTAAAGTGGACCTAGTTCATCTTAGGCTGGTGGCCCCTTTAAGCAACCCCCAGAATATTTCTCCTTACCCCTGCTCGTTACTCCCTTCCTGGCCTTGAATCCTATGCACTTAGTACATCTTGTTGTGCTTAAAGTGGTCTTTGGTGGACCTAGTTCATCTTAGGCTAGTGGCCCCTTTAAGCCACCAGCATAATATTTCTCCTTACCCCTGCTCGTTGCTCCCTTCCTGGACTTGAATCCAATGCACTTAGTACATCTTGGTGCGCTTAAAGTGGTCTTTGGGGGACCTAGTTTATCTTAGGCTGGTGGCCCCTTTAAGCAACCCCCAGAATATTTCTCCTTACCCCTTCTCGTTACTCCCTTCCTGGCCTTGAATCCAATGCACTTAGTACATCTTGTTGTGCTTAAAGTGGTCTTTGGTGGACCTAGTTCATCTTAGGCTAGTGGCCCCTTTAAGCCACCAGCATAATATTTCTCCTTACCGCTGCTTGTTGCTCCCTTCCTGGCCTTGAATCCAATGCACTTAGTACATCTTGGTGCGCTTAAAGTGGACTTTGGTGGACCTAGTTCATCTTAGGCTGGTGGCCCCTTTAAGCCACCAGCATAATATTTCTCCTTACCGCTGCTTGTTGCTCCCTTCCTAGCCTTGAATCTTTTGCACTTAGTACATCTTTTCAGAGTCTTGCAAGGCCTCGTGGGACTTGAAGTTCCTCCACACCTGGAGGGCCATAGTTTGGAGACCCCTGATTTATCTCATTGTTAGGAATTTTGCCCATCTTTGGTGTCATTAGGAGGAATTATGCCTTTCATTGGTGTCCATGAAAGAAATGCCCGTAGCGAATAGGGAAGAATGGAAATAGCGCAGGGCATACATGACTAGGCCCAGAGTGGTGTAGGGAACGGAAAGAGTTAAAGTTAGCTCCAGGGGGTGGGGAATTGATTGGGGAATTATCGGATTGGCAGATGTGGAGTGTAGGAGGGGTCTGTGGCACCTTAGGGTGGGGGGTTCTGTGGAAGGGGCGTCAGTGGAGCTGGACGTGAGCAAGGAACAGAGCTTCCCTCCCGCCCTCCCTTTTTGGTTGGGTATCGGGTCTCGTCGGGGGGAGGTAAGAAATAAAAAAAAAAAAAAAAAAAAGGTAGAAAAGGGGGTTTTCTGTTGGTTCACGGGCGGTTTGTTGGTCTTTGGAGGCGGGTCTCATTTTGGAAGGTAAAACAATGGTGTGGGACCCCATCCGTGGTATGGGGGGCCCGGTGGATATTCCCAGTTAACCAAGGTTTAACTGGAAGGTGGTGGTGCTGCACTGCGGACGGTATGGTTGTCTCCGAGCTGGTTGGTTTGCGGCTGGAGGCCTAGTGTATAGGGTTGTCCGCAGGTGCATTTTGGATCGTTTGTGGGTGCCTTTGAAGACCAACAACAATTCTTGGGTTTCCGTTAAGGAACGGTTGATGTATGTAAAATGTGAAGTTGTTAATAAAAGGCCATGTTGGCCATTTACTCCAAATGGTGCCATGTTTTTTGTAAAGTTTATTTGGTTAAGGGGGTGGGGAGTGGTATGGATAGGTAATGGTGGAAGTAGGAGTGGACAAGCCTATCTATGGTGCATTAGTCATGAAATTGTGTCCATAAAAGCAAGCAAGGGGCCGCATTCGGTCCCCGGGCCGCCTTTTTGGAGACCACCGCTTTAGTCGCATGCCTCCATTCTGTGTACAAAGCTTTCGTACGGAGCCGGTTGTGTTCTGCCGTCTTATTTACACACAACCCAGGGCAATACACTCAGTATTATTAGCCGGGAACAAGTCAGATTATGTGATACCAGACTTGACAGAATCATAAGGGGAGCATATGTCATATAATAATAGCAACATGATAGGGCTTCAATGTACTGAGCTGTGACTTGACGTAAATGGCTCTCTATCTTGTATCATTAGATTAGATTCACTTTAGCCGTGGCTCCTGTCCATAAATAACAGAATTATCATTTTATGTACTTCTGCCGTAAACATGATCCCGGGAAAAAAGATGTATTAAGCGGAACAGGCGAGTTGCTGGGAGATATAGAAAATGACGGAGTTACGGTATTACGAGAGCCGGAGATGGAATACACAATGGACGCGGTCCTCGTAAGTCGATGATATGAAGCTCACAGCTGCGCTATAGACGCTCTAGTAGGAAACTTATAACTTCCGTGTTATTACAGCCATACGGCCCGTACAATAAAGCTTGTTCAATAAAGGTTTCTAGTGTTTCAAGTGGTCTTAATAGACCCCCTTGCTTTGTAGTGGACTCCATATTGAATCTGTTGCACTTAGTACATCTAACTGCGCTTAAAGTGGTCTTTGGTGGACCTAGTTCATCTTAGGCTTTTGGCTCCTTTAAGCCACCCGCAGAATATTTCTCCTTACCGCTGCTTGTTACTCCCTTCCTAGTCTTGAATCTATTGCACTTAGTACATCTTATTGCGCTTAAAGTGGTCTTAAGTGGACCTAGTGCATCTCTGGCTGGTGGTCCCTTTAAGACACCCATAGAAAGTTTTTCCTTACCATGGCTCCCTCCATATGGAATCTATTGCACTTAGTACATCTCACTGCGCTTAAAGTGGTCTTAGGTGGACTTAGTTTATCTTGGGCTGGTGGCCCCTTTAAGCCGCCCACAGAACATTTCTCCTTACAGCGGTTCGTTGTTCCCTTCCTGGCCTTGAATCTATTGCACTTAGTACATCTTATTGCGCTTAAAGTAGTCTTAAGTGGACCTAGTGTATCTCTGGCTGGTGGCCCCTTTAAGACACCCAAAGAATTTTTCTCCCTAGCACTGCTTGCTGCTCCCTCCATATGGAATCTATTGCACTTAGTACATCTCACTGCGCTTAAAGTGGTCTTAGGTGGACTTAGTTTATCTTAGGCTGGTGGCCCATTTAAGCCACCCGCAGACCATTTCTCCTTACCAATGCTCGTTGTTCCCTTCCTAGTCTTGAATCTATTGCACTTAGTACATCTTGTTGGGCCTAAAGTGGTCTTAAGTGTACATCTCGCTGGTGGCCCCTTTAAGACACCCATATAATTTTTCATCCTACCGCTGCTTGCTGCTCCCTCCATATTGAATCTATTGCACTTAGTACATCTCACTGCGCTTAAAGTGGACTTAGTTCATCTTAGGCTGGTGGCCCCTTTAAGCCACAGCAGAATATTTCTTCTTACCACTGCTTGTTGCTCCTTTCCTAGCCTTGATGGACAGCACAGGAGGACTTCTTCCCTTAGAATCAGTGCTCTTAAACCAGGGACCCCAACGCCAGCAGAATTGTTACCCCAATGACCAATGGTCTTAAGTTGACCTAGTGAATCTCTGGCTGGCAATCCCTTTAAGCCACACGCAGAATAGATTTTCTTACCGCTGCTCGTTGCTCCCTTCCTAGTCTTGA